CAGATCTAGTTGATAAAGACCATTTTGAACCTTCCCTTGAAGTAGAACACTTTTGCTGTCTCTATCCTTTACCAAACAATGATCAGAGTAGAATTCCACAATCACATTATTGTCTTTTGTGATTTGGGAAATGCTTAACAGGTTTTTGGCTATATTAGGTACACATAATTCATTCCGTAGATGAACTATTTTATTTAAATTAAAAGATGGAAGAAGCATCATACCTATGTAAGTAATAGGTAAGGCTTCCCTATTTCCAACTTGTACCTTAGATCCTCCAGAATAATTGGTTCTGGTCAGCATGTTAGAGGAATCAACAACCATGTGATTTGAGGCCCCGGAGTCCATATACCAGGACTGATCTTTTACTGTCTGAGGAGTTGCCATTTGTGGATTAGTAGGCCCTGAAGTAACACTGACATCTAGATTAGGAGTATTGTTAGTCTGGACAGTACTGAACAAAGGTCCAAAGGTGTGTTGCTGATATTGTGAATTTCCATGTTGTCCATTATCTACTGAATAATCATGGAAAGTAGTGATATTAGGATTGAAAGACCCAACAGGTATAAAAGTTCCAGCAAGTAAGGCTTGAGCTAAGTGATTAAGAGCTTGTGAAGGTCCCGGATGAGCAGGTACATCTCCTACATATGGAAAAAATCCTAAATTTGTAACAGCAGGTTTAGAGAAACCTTGGTAATCATGATCAAATCTGTGATTTCACTGAAGTCCTGAGTGACCAGGTTTCCCGCACACTTGGCACACTAATCTCGGCTTACCAAAATCTCTACCCCTACCTCGACCTTTAGCAAATGAGTTAAATCCACTAGCAAATAACTGTGGTGAGGCGAACGATGGATTGTAGGACACTCTATTATAATTAGGTCTAAAATTTCCAACTGAGTTTCCATCAACAAACTGTGAGTATCCTATGTGACCAAAGTTAGCATGTTGAGCCTGTTGTGCTTGATGAGTCACTGATCCAGATTGTGATAAATTTCTCCCAACAGGACTCAACATATTTGTAGACTGATTTATCATCACACCAGTGTCATTTTGAGGCAGTACATTAGAACCTTCAAATGGTCCATTTTTTTATGCTAATAAGGTAGAGGACATTTGTCCATGGAAATGTAATAGAGCATTATTTTGTTTCTCTAATCTCATCTCATGCTTATGCAACAAGAATTAAGCCTCTTGAAATGTAATTGACATTAGAGGTAAGATTTGCAACTGCAGCATCATATTCTGGGCCTAATCCATCTAGAATGTATGACAATAACTCCTCATCACTAACATGCACACCACTTGCATTAAGTTTATCACCTAACTCTTTCATCTGTAAAACATAGTCATTCACACTTTGTGACTCCTTTTTAGTGGTTTGAAGCATATTCCTAAGATGTAAGGTTATGGCCTTGGAGACCGATTGGAAGTGTAATTCCAATGTGTGCCAAATTTCATACGCAGTATTACATTTTGACACATGCCTGAACATAGATTCAAATACTGATGATAGCAACCAAGTAACCAAGACCTGATCAATCTTCTTCCAATTAAAATACTTAGGGTTTGGTCGCTTAATTACATGTCCATTGCCTTCTAATTTATCCATTATAAATAGAGAGGGACGAGAATTCATACCTGTAATGAAGCAATCTAACTCATGAGAAGCTAATGTAGGTAAAACCTGAGAACACCAGTAGTTATAGTTCTTTTCCACCAGCTTCGCCGAGAGATTAGGAAGTGATGAATGAACTATTAAGTTCCGTGTACCTCCATTACCGAGTTGTTCAGCATCAACCTTGGATGTATTATCTGAAAAATCAGGAGTAGAGCTTGCCATTGACGCTAGTCTATGGTTCTGATACCATGAAAAAACTAGAAGATTGTAGAAAGTAAAAGCAAGATTTGTGAGTAATCGGGAAAGAAGGAAAGAACAGAGTAAGTCAAATTGTATTTTTCTTCTTTTCTAACTGAAAATTAATAAACATACAGTGGCTGAGTTTTTATATACAAAAAAGTAGAGCAAGACAGAAACTACATTGTTTTAAGCATTACACCATGTAAGCTGAAACTACACTGTTTGATGTTCTCCAACTCTCTTGTTATACTAACAAAACCGACTAGGGTGGAGAATTCAGAATTTTACCAAGTATTTACAAGAGCAAAGGATTATTTAGACACCCTTGTCCCTATCTCCATCAACAAAATGGAAGGGTCGAAAGAAAGCATTGAATTGCACTAAATTTGGCTTAACCCTTCTAGCTCATGCTGCCATGCCCCTTTGTTTTTGGTGGCAAGCTTTTTATGTAGTTATGTTTATAGTTAACAGGCTACCATCATCAGCTATTGATAATCTTTCTCCTTTCCAGAAGCTATTCCATCAAGAACCTAATTACAATGATTTTAGAGTCTTCAGGTACTATTGTTACCCATTCATCAGGCCCTACCGACGACATAAGTTCTCCTATGACACTAAAGCTTGTGTAGTTTTAGGATATAGCACCTCTCACAAGGGGTTCAAGTGCTTGTCTTCTTTAGGGAAACTGTACATTATCAAGCAAGCCAAGTTTAATGAATTTGCCTTTCCCTTTAAACATGGTTTTAAGTGTCATTTGGTTAAAAAGGTTGAGCATACAGGGCAATCTTCCACATCTCAATCAAGACAATTCTCTTGTCCTTGGAAATTGCCAAGATGTGTGGATAGTGAGTTTACAGTTGAGATACCAGCTGATGGTGACTCTTTTATTGATGTAAGGTTACCAACTCAAGCTGCTATAGCTACTTCTCAGTTACCTATTAACAATGTTCTTTCAACTATTGAAGTGTCACCTACTAATGATGATTCAAGTTCATCTAGTCCAGCTAAAGTTTCTGCACATGAGTATGCAACATCCCCAATAGCAAAATTTGGTTCAGACTCTATTCCACCGGGTAACTCTTCCCGAGGTATACAACTAGAAGTTGTCCTGCCCCTCACCAAACCACAACATCCATTTGCAACTGGAAATTGTCATCCTATGATCACTTTGTCTAAACATTAGTTTCAGCACACTGCAGGTCAAGCACTACTTTCAACTTGCCACATCTTAGCTAAACCAAAAACTCCATCAGAAGCACTGTAGATTCCAGAATGGAAAACGGAAATGACTGATGAGTTTCAAGCCCTATTGTGAAATAAAACTTGGGATTTAGTTCCTTATTATCCAAGCATGAAACATAGTAGGCTGCAAGTGGGTATTTAAAACCAAACTCAAGTTAGATGGGACTTTACAAAAGTACAAAGCAAGGTTGGTAGCCAAGGGCTTTCAACAAACCCCTAGCTTGGATTACCTTGACACTTTTTTCCTCTGTCATCAAGCCTGCAACCATTAGAATTATGTTGTCTTTCGTTGTTCACCATCAATGGGATATGCAGCAAATTGACATTAATAATGCTTTTCTTAATGGTGATCTCACCAAAACTATTTTTATGCGGCAGCCTAAGGTATTTTTAGATGTTACTTCTCCTCAACATATGTGTAAGCTCAACAAAGCCTTGTATGCCTGAAACAAGCTCCTAGAGCTTAGTTTGACAAATTAAAAACAGCTCTTGTTGGTTGGGGATTCATCAACTCATCATCAGACACTAGTCTATTTTTCTTCAGACAAGGGAGTCAAGTTATATATCTTTTGGTGTATATGGATGATATCCTCATCACAGGGACTGATTCCACACTTGAACTGACAATTTGCCTTGAAGAACCTTGGATTTGAAGTTCAAAGGAATGACTCCACCTTGCTACTTACTCAGTGCAAGTATGCTCAGGATTTACTAATTAAAGCTGGCATGAGTGAGTGTAAACCTTGCAGTACCCCTATGGCCACAGGAGTTAAACTTGGTGAAGAAGATAGTGCTTTCTTTGAAGAACCTTCTCTCTGCAGAAGTATTGTAGGAGGGGTTAGTGTTTTTGTCACCTTATGATCTTGTTTTGAGTCCTACACGATATTTTCCTTATCTGCCAATGTGGCCACTCTTTCTAAAGGTGAACACCTTTATAAAGTGTGAACATTTTTGAGTCTATGCGGTCATAATGCATCTGGCATATATTTTTCTCAATCACACATTACGCACCCATTTTACTTTTTGGATAATATTATTCCTTGTTGATATTTTGTTATGTGCTTTTCCACTTGTCCACTTTTTATTCAGTGTGTAAGAAAAGTTGTTTTGCTTTGTTTGTGGTCCCAAAGATTCTTTTTTAAAAAGCAAAACACAAAAGTTTTACTCTAACTTTTTTGTCCCCAAACCTTTGACGCCTTGTTCTCTATATATTTCTACTTTTTTGGTGTCTTGATAAAGAAACCTAATTGCCTCTAATTCATCACTGAATATCCTCTGAGGTTTTTGTTTTCATCTATGTTTTCTCATATGCTGTGGTGGGCTTAAAATTACCCTTTTCACTCTTCCTTGTGTGATGACTTTGGATGTTTGATTCCATGGTGATGAAAGCTTGTGTGTAAGCTGCTGTTCCAAAGTTGATTCTTTGTTGTTGAAACTTGAGATGAGCTCAAGTATGACCTAGTGGTCTCGTGTGTGAAGCTTGCTATGGTGGCTTGAAGTTCAACCGAAGAAGAGAAGATTGCTGTGTTGAAAACAAGGAGTGTTTTGCAACTATGCTTTTCTTGCTTTATATTTGAACTCATAAGTTTACATAGTGGATTTGCTTCTTCTGGACTTGGTCCCATGGATGTAGGCATTTTGCCGAACCATGTAAAAATGAGTGTGTTCTTTTCTTGCTTTGATGGATGTTTCATTTATGCCTTGAACAACTCTTATGCACAATATGAACAAGCAGCCCATTCCACATAAGTTTTAATCACTTGGTAATCCTTTAAAACTCTTAGGAGGTCTACAGTACCTTACCCATTCCATGCCTGATTTAGCCTTCTTTGTCAACCGGTTGAGTCAGTTTCTTTAGGCTCCTACCACTGCTCACTGGACTGCTTGCAAAAGAGTCATGCGGTACATCAAAGGCACCCTGCAACATGGACTTCTGTTTAAAAAAGCGACAAATTTTATACTAGAAGGTTATACGGATGCTGATTGGGCTAGTGATGTGAGTGATAGACGATCCACAAGTGGTTATAGTATTTTCCATGGGGACAATTTAGTGCAATGGAGCTCTAGGAAACAACTAGTGGTTTCATTATCTTCAACAGAAGCTGAATATAGAGCCCTCTGTCAAGCAGCCACTGAATTAGTCTGGATTCAGCATTTATTTCAAGAACTTGGTATAAACATCAACACAACCCCTATTTTGTGGTGTAACAATATGAGTGCTAGAGCTCTCTCATCCAACCCGGTATTCGATGCTAGAACAAAGCACATTGAAATAGATGTGCATTATGTAAGAAAGCTAGCTACCAAAAAGAGATTAGTGGTTCAATATGTTGGCACAGAGTACCAAGTTGCAGATATTTTAACTAAGGCACTGCCAGGGAACAGGTTTCAGTGTCTAAGAGAGAAGCTGAAACCCATTTCGGTACTAAGGGTAGGTTGATAACCTACAGCAGAAGGCATTCTACCCAATAAGGCAGATACTTCGGATCCCGCTTGGACGAAACGGAAGATATTGTCAATAAATAGTAGTACGTCTTGTTCATTAACATCTCGGAAATATTCCGCCATAGTTAGGGCAGTCAAACCAACTCTCATGCGAGCTCCCGGCGGTTCATTCATCTGACCGTAGACTAGAGCCACTTTTGATTCCGCAATATTTTGTTCATTAATTACGCCAGTTTCTTTCATTTCCATGTAAAGATCATTTCCTTCACGAGTACGTTCACCGACTCCGCCAAATACGGATACACCCCCATGAGCTTTGGCAATGTTGTTGATCAATTCCATAATGAGTACTGTGTTACCTCTGGTACTAATTCTGAGGACAGCAGTGTTCCTCTGGTCACTGGAAAAGTTGGTCAATATAAAGGATAACGTGGTAGTCTTTCCAATGTTGAAGTTAGAATGTTTACACTGAAGGTGATAAATGTTGCTGTTATGCTGCGTTCTGCTACTGTGTTGCTAAGACTGAAATATTATGTAGTTGTTGTTTACGGGAAAAATGTTGATTTACAGGTCTGGTATATAGTTCAGTTTAAGGGAGCATATTATGCAGTTGCTGTTTACGGGAAAAATGTTGATTTACAGGTCTGGTATATAGTCCAGTTTAAGGGAGCATATTGGGATAAGTGTACTGGTAGATTGTTACATAGTTCAGTTTAAGGGAGCATATTAGTACAATGGGGTATGTTTGTAATCCTTTGGAATATATAGTTGTTACTCATATGCGGTGTATTTTGTAAAGATTAAAACTAGAAGGTTAAAACTCTGCGTTTTAACCCAAAGGCTAAGTATAAATTGGCCGCCTTCTTGTAACTAGTTCAGTTAATCACACAGACATTTTTCAGTTCGTCTTCCTTCTTCCTCTCTTGCTCTTAAAGTCATTCAAGCTTTGACCAAGCATTCACATTTTGTACATCAGGTGTGTTGCACGTTTCTTTATAAAAGCGTTATTAAAGAAACTTTTAGTCGTTGGGTTGGTGACAAGAATATGTCGGCATAAAGAAATCCCATCACAATAATTTTATATTATAGTCTTTAAAAAAGCATATATGCCATTGCCATCCCCTTTCATTGTCAACTTTAGTTTTACCATCAACTTTGTCCCCAGCACTCTCAGCATCATCAGTTTGATTAGACGACTTCACTATTTTGAGAAGATTAGGTGAAACTTGGTCCACTACAGGTCCAATGAGACTTTTTCGTTTAAGTTTTTTCTCGAATTACTCTGGTCTTATCAATTTATTTTTGAGCACTATTATTCTTGTTACCTTGTGCTTATTATTGCAACTTGGTGTTTTATCAATCATCGATCACTCTTTCATCTTTTTCCCTTTTCTTTTTTCCTTTAATTATTGACAAAAATTGAGAAGGTGAAAATATCACCAATCACAACCCAGTTGATTTATACATTATGTATAAATTACAATTTCTATTTATTTCGTGAATACATAATCTCATTACAAATTTGTTCAGATGAAGAAGTCTTCCCATTCATGAATATTAAACAACAATATGTCAACATAAACAAAACCCATCACAATAAATTAAATATCGATTAATTTATATCCTAGCAATTTGAAATATTAGTCAAAAGCCATGCTCCATTGGCTCCAATATTAGAATTTTACCAAAGAAAAAAAAAATATTTGTAAACAGTTGATGGATGAACAAGACCATTGTATATATATATATTGTAAGTTATTATATCATCTTTCTCAAACAGTCAAACTAAAATTAATAAAATATGCATAACCCTAAAATGGGTTTTACATGGTTGCTTTGTGTTATAGCCTAAAACTTAATACTGATCAATCAACACAAAACAATCACACCAAGAAACAAGAAAAACACCACAAAATCAAACACACAAAACAAGCCACGATTTACCGTGATTCACTTATCCTTTTATGGATAAGCTACATCTACGTTGAGCTCAAAAACGGTATGAGCTCGCTGCACTTCGATTACCAGAAAACAGTCAAGATTACACAGATTCAACACTCACCAGATCTACCCGTTTACAACAGCAATCAGCCTTACAAGATACCCTCTGAATATCCCAAACCCGAGAGAACAACACTCTCACCTGAATGATTAAAGCCCCTAATCACTCGACTGATACTCACAATCTGGAATGTAGAATCTCAACCCTAACATAGCGAAAAGAACCGACTCAAAAAAACCCTAGCCATTGTATGTTTTCTCTCTCCCTCAAAACTGAATGAACATACGCTTATATATGGTTTGACTCTGTGATTGATCCTGGCCGTTCAATCTGAAACGCATCCTGTGGTCTGAATTCGCCTAAGTTAATATGCCTAAAACGACGCCGTATTAGTGTTACTTAAACGACGCTGTTTCAGGCTTCCATATTTAACACTTTGTTTAGTTTCTTGTATGCTTTTAAATCACATTTTTGTTACCAGAGCAACTATATGTATTGATGACAGAGGGAATTTCACAAGTAATAGCACTTATGAGAAGAACAGGAACCTGATCCTCTCATCTCTTGCTCCTAATGTCACTCTACATGATGGTTATTTTTACACTGCAAGTGTTGGCCAAGAGCCTGACGAAGTTTATGCTCTTGCTCTTTGTAGAGGAGATTCTTCTGCAGAACAGTGTGTCAGTGGTGTCAGTTTTGCGGCCGAAGATATCATGAGGCAATGTTTGAACCAGAAAGAAGCAGTTGCATGGGGAGAGGGTCCTAAATGCATTGTACGCTATTCAGACCATTCGATTTTTGGAAAAATGGAGACGTATCCCTGGGCTGAAGGCGGCTATGGGACTAATATCACAACCAACATGACACAGTTTGATCAGACTTGGAAGAGTTTGATGAATCGGTTGTTGAAAACATCTTCTACTGGCTCTAATAATTCTAGAAAAAAGTTCGCAACTGGAGAAGCGAGTTTGACTGATTCTGTGAAGATTTATGCACTCATGCAGTGTACTCCTGATATTTCAGAAAGTGATTTTGATTCTTGTCTTCGTCAATCTGTGTTTTACTGTGAGAGCCACTACCATGGCAAAGCAGGTTGCCTTCTTGTGAGACCTAGCTGTATTTATGAATGGGATTCGAGTCCATTCTATGCAGCCTCTCCTGATGCTCCATCCCCATCCCCTCCTCCTTCACAGTTCACGCATAAGGAAATGATCATAAAAGGTATATATATATATATATATATATTCACAAATATAATTAGTAAATGTTTATTTTAAATGATAGGGTCAGATCTACGTATAAGCATATTACCAGGAACTCTCAATGAAACTTGAATTCTTTTTTTTTTTTTTTTTTTTTAATCCAATTGATTACGACGGACTTTAGACCTTCGCCTCAGATATTATGTTAAGTCATTATCCCACCTAAAAACTTAAGTTAGTAGGTGAGGGTTCAATATTATATTAATCCAAAATATATCTTGATGAATTTTTGTATTTTATATTTAATAATGTCAATAAACCAGTTATAGTGCCAACTACTATTGAAGTTTGTATTTTTTTGTATTTTTTGTATTTTTTTGTTTTTAAATGTACACAAGGCATGAAAGATGGATGGGTATCTTTCATGATATTCCCTAGTAGCTTTCCTTAGCATCATCATGTGTTGAGACCATGTACACAATTTTTTTTTTTTTAATTTTTTTTTTAATTGTTTGTGCTTATATATGCAGAGAAAGGAGGCATTGCATCTAAGACCGTTTTTATCATTGTTGTTTCTACGGTTATCTCCGTAGCACTTGTTGCCTTCACTTGTGTCCTTCTTTGGAGGAGAACGAGAAAGACAAAGCGAATGATGGGAGGTAAGCAAACAATAGAAGGTCAGTACATTATGAGAAAGTCTCTATAGTATGTACATTCTATTTACATCTAGCTAATCATGCATGAATGGGTTTGATACTATAGTGGTATTGTTGATGTGGTAACACAAGTTAATGCATACATGCTAACTGGTTATTGCATTTAATAACTACAAATCACAATTAATCAATGTAAAGATAGATGAGAGAAAATACTCAGAGGTGACACAAGTTCACTAAATGATAATATGAATATTGATGTGGTACCTGTTGACCAAAGATTTATGGTGCTAACTGCAAGTTCTCAAAATGTGAGGACCTGACTGAAGTTTCACAAACGATGTCGTTTCACTTTAGTTGTAAAAGTCTTCTTCCTAAAACGATTATTCAGTGTAATGAGCTGCTGTAACTTTACTCTTCTTCACTCACTCTCTCACTTATTTTCTTCAAGTATATAAGCAGCCACAATGTATTGTAACTAGTTAATCAATCAAATACAAAGAATTATTCAGCTTAGAATCAAGTTTTATCTTTCTTTTCTTTCAATTTCACAGTACCTCAATGGAATTCTAGATTTTTTCTATGTTGCGTTCATGATTGGTTAAGTGCATATATGATACGCACATCAAAGACTTTCTAATTAGTTAAGCTTGTGGTTTCTAAGTTTAGTTTTAACGAATACTTTACAAAAAAGACTATTAACCTTAATAAAAAAGGGTCTTTTATGAAATATCTTAAAAATTTTATCTTTTTTTAAAATCACTCTAATTTTTAATATTACATAGAACAATAATATGCTTACAAAATCTTCATACAAAGATGTATATACAAAATGACGTAGAAAAATATAAGTGGTACAATGAATATAAATAATCAACTCATTAATTGATATGTAAGTTAAAGGGTAATGCAAATGCCACATCACTTTGTATTTATCCCTTTGTGAAGAGTAATGTTACATGCATAAAATAATTATACAAATTATAACTTGTAAACTAATTAATGTGACAAACCCATGTGTTTAACACATCATATAATCTAATTTGTTTAAATCATGAATAATTTTAAATCATCCAATTGCATTAAAACACATTAGTATGTATGGATAAATTTATACGAAGAGTTTTTACATATAGTATTATTCCTTTCTAAAAAGACTTTATATGTACAGTATTACTCTATTAAATACACTAACTCTAGGAAATATTAGTATTAAAATAACTTCAAAAGCAATCATCATTAGAAAATAGAAGACATTTTTTATGAGAAAATCTTCTTTACATCGGATATTGATACAACCATCCAATCATGAGGTGAGTGTATCTTGCTTATAATGACATGGCACTCCATTTGTAGGAAAGATTTTTTAACTTCTATTGGGTTAGGTTAGAGTAACTTAATTTTTTTCTTAAATTGGAATACATTGGTAATAGATATGGATATGAGAAGGAAGCTGAAGGTAGTTATTTTCTTTACCACCTCATCAAGTCCTAGCCCTTTGGATTGTAATGAATCAATTGCTAAAAAACTGTGTCAAAATTATAAGTTGATGTAGTGTAACCCTTTTTATTAAACCATCTAAAAGAGGTTATATATTGAGAATATTTTGAATTAAAAGACTCTTTTTAAGCATCCTATAAATGTAGTTTTGTAGTAGTAGTGAGGTTATATAAGAGCAACAACTAATTAACTCAACTGTGTTACTGTTGTTGTTAAGACGATGATAATGTGGAATCCTTGCAATTTGACTTTAGCACTATCAGAGTTGCAACAAATAATTTTTCAATTGATAATAAGCTTGGACGTGGTGGATTTGGTGTTGTTTATAAGGTAAGTAATTAATCACTAACCAAAATTAATAAATATCAATTGTTAATAAAAATGAGTTAAATTATAAATTTTGTTTTCAGGGTAGGCTTCTTGATGGACAGGAAGTAGCTGTCAAGAGGTTGGCTATAGGTTCTGTACAAGGAGAAACAGAATTCAAAAATGAGGTCCTCTTGATGGCCAAACTTCAACATAGGAATTTGGTTAGACTTCTAGGATTTTGTTTGGAAGGAAACGAAAAGCTTCTCATCTATGAGTTTGTGCCAAATTCAAGTCTAGATAACTTCATATATGGTATGGTAAATTCCACTATTTTTTGGCTTTCTTTGTAAGAAAAGAGTATATTAATTCCATTTAATGTAATTTACTTATTTGGCGTTGACGAGTTTGCAGATCCAACCCAGCGTTTAATATTGGATTGGAAGATGCGATACAAAATCATAAAGGGCATAGCACGAGGAATTCTTTATATTCATGAAGATTCTAGGTTTCGCGTCATTCATCGTGACTTAAAAGCCAACAATGTTCTTTTAGATGTCCACATGACTCTAAAAGTTTCAGATTTTGGAATGGCAAAGTTGTTAGCAATAGATCAAACTCAAGGCCATACAAGTAGAATTGCGGGGACATTGTAAGTATTTATAAAATTAACATAAACAACTCAAGAATCGTCAAGTTTATTCCATATGCAAAAACATAATTAATAAATATATGCTTATGATCAACACATGATACGTTGATTTTTGTTACGAAATAAAATTTGATTGAGTCCAATTTTCAGTGGGTATATGGCTCTAGAGTATATAAAGCATGGGCACTTCTCAGCTAAATCCGATGTTTTCAGCTTCGGTGTGTTACTCCTGGAAATAATGAGTTGTCAAAAGAATAGTTCTTTTCCTACCGAAGAGGAACCGCAGGATTTATTAACCTATGTAAGTCAAATTCATAGGAATATTTTTCAAGTTTTTCGACCCTCTGAGTAATGTGTTAGACTTAAATATTACTGTTATACACTTAATAATGGTTTTAATTTTTGGATCAAGTGATAAGTATTAATATGGTCATTGACACATCGTCTTTGTCAAATTTTGTAGGCATGGAGAAATTGGATTGAAGGTAAAGCTGTGAATCTAATAGACCCCAATTTGAGGGTTGGCTCCAATAGAGATATGATGAGATGTATTCACATTGGGTTGCTTTGCGTTCAAGAAAATGTAGCCAATAGACCTACAATGGCTTCAGTAGTTCACATGCTCACTGGTGACACCCTTTCTATCCCAACACCATCAAAACCTGCATTTTTTATGCACTTCAGCACAACGACAGATAAATTAGAATCAACGGCATTGGATCAATCAAAAAATTTCCAATTTTCATTGAACGAGGCTTCAATTACTGATTCTGGCCCTCGATAATGTCTGAAGATTGATTTTGTATCTTTAGGCTAGCATATATATGTGCTTTGCTTTGACTTAATTTTTTTTTTTTTTTTTTTAAATATAGTTATACAAACACTATTTTTTAAGTTCCCCTCTAACATCATGATCCATGCATGAAATCTTTTCATATAAATCATCTAAGAATGAAAAGTCAGAGAAATGTTATAAATTCATCTAATATATACGAACAATTACATCATTTCTAAAGGCTAAAACATGTCTTAGCTTTAACATACTAATTTAGTAATATAATATTTTTTTATTCATTTATTTTGTTCTTTTAGTTTATTTCATTTAAGACAATTTTGTAATATATATTTTCATTAAAAAAATGGGCTGTGAAAATGAATTTTTGGGAGTACATGATATACACCAACCCACTTAAAGTCAAAATGAGAGAAAATTGAAGAAGAAGAAGAATCAGTAAGTGAGCTGATTTAGTTCTATTTTCGTTAACAAGAGAGTTCCAGTCTCTATGTTATATAGAGAAGATTAAAACGACACCGCATGACAGCACCTTTGTGCCTGATTACAAAACAACCCTCATTGATATTTGGTCAACATTCCCCCTTAAACCAAGCTACATACATCTGACAAATCTCCTGAAAGCTAAGCTTATTAGAGAGCAATTCTTGTTCTAAACTGAACTTGAAGATGGAAAGACAACTATTGACCACAATCAATTCTTGAATCAATTCTTGGATCACTTCTTATCAGCTCCACCAGTAGGACAACAAAAAAAAAAAAAAAAAAAAAAAAAAAACACAGCAGCAAGGCAAATACATATCTTCTTCATCAACTAAAATTGATACTCCAACATGACACAGCAGAAACAATTCTTAATTCTACAGTTCAAATGCAACAACAGTCTGATAAACATCACACAGTAGAAACACTTCTAAACTGATTGTTAGAGTCATGAAAGTGACTCTATTTTGGTGATAAAAATACCCCATGTGTGATTAAATTGAAGTATATTGAGACAATTAAAGAATTTATGAATTTATTCACGAAAATCGCTTCCTAATATTTTTCTTATTAATTTAACGTGTTTGGAATGATTTTTGAAAGTATATTAGTTGATATTAGTTTGTGGTTTATGGATTAGGGGTGATTTTGTCTCATTTATGCTGTTTAGGGGGTACACTGTCATATTTATAAGGGTTGATTTTGTCACTTTTCAATCAAGCAGGGACCAAAGTGATATTTTGGCAGTTTGTCTATTAAAGAAAATGAAAGGTCGCATTCAAAGGAGGCGTTGTTCATCCATTTTCTGGCAACGTTTCATCTTCCTTTTCGACGAACTTCAGCGACGGTTCATCTTCCTCGACCATCTATCATCTTCATCAGCCGTCAACGCCACCGTGAGACGTGATTTGCTGCTGCGATGCTTCAAATTTCTACCACTATTTTTCAGAAGACCCGCCGAAAAATTAAAGTTTTCCAGCGAGTGCAACTGTTCGTATTCTGGGCTATCCGTTGGTTGTTTTTAGCCCTTCTTCGCATCATATCGCTGTCGGTTACCTCCTCTTCGCCATGATCAGCTTCGTTTCCACCGTTTCAGCCTCCGTTATCACCATCATGAGCAGCTAAGTTCTCGGTTGTCTGTTAGGGCTTAAGCGAGATCGAGATTGACTCCATGGCTCTACTCATCAGCTCTCGACTAGTTGGATGAGCCCGATTGTAGGACATTTGGTAGTATTGTGTTTTGAATTATATTTGTTTTCGTTTAATGTTTGATTTCAATACTTTAATATGATTTTAGCATAATTTGTGATGAATATTGTTGTCCATTGTGATTTAATGTTTTCATAGAACTTGTTGAATGATAAACGTTGGTTTGAAATAATTGAATGATGAATATTGCTTTTCATTACTTTGCATCAATTGTAATTGAGTTGTGTTCGGATTTAATTTCATTTCTACTGTTGTTGCGTTTATTGTGAAGTTGGTTGATTGGAAGATATGTGTTGACAAATTGTATTTGTTAATTGCGTACCAACTAGTGGAATTGTCGTGTAGCGTTTATCGGTGTTGAGTGATAGTCTTTAACCAATCGAACTTGAGTGATCGGGTGAGACATGATAGATTATACCTAGAGTGCCGAGAAGCCATTTCATTGATTTGCCTTGCCTTGTAGGTTTAGGGGATCGTAGAGGGTGGAGGAGAATTGTGTGAGTCGTTCTCGTGTCGAACCAAAACCGTAACGGCAACATTTTTATTATAAAGTCTTCATTTGTTTTAATTTCACGCTTTTATTAGTTGCATTTAGTTTGTTTAGTTTAATTAATCAAATTGCCAATTTCTTTTCCGATACTCAAAATACATTAGGTTGTTAGTCTTGCTCTCTGTGGATTCGACCTTGCTTACCATTAACTACGGTATTTAGGTTTAATTTTGTGACTGTGACGACCGGTTTGACAAAATTTTGGTGTCGCTACTAGGGAGCAACGTGCTTTTGACTTTGTGTGTTTTGGTAGTCATTAGTTTTTATTCTAGGTTTATTTTAGTTGTCGTTTTTGTTTGTGTTATTTTCTTTGTTGTGATTATTTGTTTGGGTAAATTGTTTAATTTTTGTGTTCCGTTTAGTTCGTCTCGTTGCATTGTTGGTTAATTATTTTCTTTTTAGGTTGTTTGCATAATTTCATTTTTACTTCGTTTTATTTTATTTTCATTGGAATTGTTTCATTTGTGTTTGTTTTTGTTTTGTAGGAAAATTGCAATTGGGAAAACGCTTTAGCGTGTCATGAGCAGTAAAGATCTTGCACGACCCGATTGTGAAATTCTCTTAACCTTTGATTTTTTTTTATTCCTAGGATTTAATTTTTGTTCTTAGTATTGAATTCTTTTAGGTTGCATTGATAACTTTAGTTTTGATTAAGTATATTTGTTGTGTGAAATTTTGTTGGGTATAGTTTTGTTAGATTTTAGATTTGTTTTAGTTTTGTTTCGTGTGCTTATTAAAATTTGTTTCTTAGGATTTGGATTTAGTTAATTTTCTTTGAGATTGTTGTTGCGTTGCTTGTTGAGCCTTTTGTATGTTGGATTGATGAATGCAAACTAGAAGGTCTTGTAACGAAGAGTTATTACCTTTGAATCTTGAAATTGAACACACTTGTAAGAGGAATAGAAAACAAGCACGTAGGATGGCTGACTAGGATGAACCTGCACATGTGCCCCTTAGCGAACATTTCACACCCACCACCTACACTTCAGTCTCATGTATCCGTGTCCCCAATGTCTAGACACAACACTATAAGATCAAAACTAGTGTCATCCAATTGTTGCCAATTTATTATAGGAATTTAAATGAGGAGCCATACAAACACTTAGATGAATTTTTAGAGGTTTGCTCCATAGTTAGACTTTAACATGTGAATGAAGATGTTGTGCGCTTAATTTTATTCCAATTTTCACTTAAGGATTGAGCCAAACAGTGGCTCAATTCTTTGGTAGCAGGGTCCATTATCTCTTGGACCCAAATGCAACAAGGATTCCTAAAAAAGTATTATCTCATTGGTAAAACCAACAGCATAAGACGAGCCATTACTAGTTTCACTCAACTTGACAGCGAGGAATTTTATGAGAGTTGGGAACTTTTGAAGAAAATGCTTAGGAAATGTCCCTATCACGCAGTCCCAAGGTGGCAATTAGTTCATAGTTTCTATGATGGACTGACCGAGAGGCATAGGAATATGGTAGATGCTTCTTGTGGAGGAACATTTATGCACAAGGACGAGAATGAGTTATGGCAACTCTTCGAGACCTTAAGTGAAAATTCAATGCACCACATTTCTGCGTCTAGAATGCCTATCTCAGGGTAGCCATCCAAGAAGGGTGGCGTGTATGAGGTGTCATGGTTAGATGACATTAGTTCCAAGCTAGAGGTGTTGGCCCACCGATTTGCCCAGTTTGTATCTATACAAGGGCAACCCTCTACACAATCATCTTAGGAGGCGAACCAGGATGTTTTTGCCATGCACTCCACTCTTGACCATCCAATTGAGGAACCTGCCCCTAACTCTTTTGAGGAGCAAGTGCAGGTTGCACAAGGCTTCTAGAGACGAAACGATCCGTACTCGAACACGTACAATCCTGGGTGGCGTAACCACCCTAATTTTTCATGAAAGCTATAACCACCCTAGAATGTCCCCAATAATATGCCATACAGGAACAATCCTTCCAATCAGTAAGATAATTATAGGGAGTAACCTTCAATCCAACCTAGGATCCTACAGCCCATTCAGCGACCCACTCTAGTGCCTAGTTCACTAGAATCAATGATGGCTCAAATGCTCCAAACCATGCAGGAACAAAAAGCCGACATGAATGCTAGGTTCCAAGCTTTAGAGCAGAATACCCAACTTCTACATTCCCATTCCCAATCCATTAGTAAGCCAGAGACCCAGATTGGTCAAATAGCTGAAGCAGTCAATAAGAGGGAACAAGGCCAATTGTCTAGTTAAGTCGTAGGTAACCCTAGTGATTCTTCTCAATAGAGAGGGTTTTCGAACAGGCTAAGGCCGTGATGACTTTTCGGAGCGACCGAGAGCTAATTAGGCCTGAGAGGGAAGTAAAAGTCCAGGGTAGAGAAGAGGAAAGTCTAGGTAGGGACCAAGCCAAAGAGAGTGAGAGTGAGCCACTTGTAGAGTTGAGTTTTTAGAGACCGGGTAAGGAGAAAGTTGGGGAGAATGAACTATCCCCTGCATCGTACATACTGAGAGCACCATTTCCTCAGTGCTTAGAGCCCCCAAATGTTCCCACTACTAGGAAAAGCACTAGAATGGAGGAAATGATTGAGTTGTTTAAGTAGGTACAGATTAACATTCCACTTTTAGATGCCATTAAGCAAGTACCTACTTATGCCAAATTCCTCAAAGACTTGTGCACGCAAAAGAGGAAAATGAAATCTCACACACCTAAGATTGTACATTTATCGAAAAATGTAAGTGCAGTTGTCTCAAACCGCATTCCCCCAAAGTTAAAGGATCCTGGAGCTCCTATTATT